AGGCGGCCCGTCAACCGTTGAACTTCCTTCACGTTGCGTGGGGGCTCCATGTTGATGATGGCCTGGATGTTCTCGGGATTGGCCTCAATACCCCTTCGGCTCACCATGTAGCCCAAGAATTTGCCTCCTTGGACGCCAAAGGTGCACTTCTTCGGGTTTAGCCGAAGGTTGAATTTTTGCATGATGGCGAAGATTTCCCGGAGGTCGTCAGCATGGCTGGAAGATTGTTTGCTTTTGACGATCATGTCGTCAACATAGGCCTCCATGGTGCGCCCTAGGACGGCTTGAAAGACCCGGGCCACCATCCGGGTGTAGGTGGCCCCTGAGTTCTTTAGGCCGAAGGCCATGACTAGGTAGCAGAAGATGCCCTCGGGAGTCATGAAGGCAGTTTTTTCGGCGTCTTCCTCGTGCATAAAAATTTGGCGATACCCTCGGAAGGCATCGAGGAAGGACATGATCTCACATCCTGCGGTCTCATCCACTAGTTGATCAATATTTGGTAGAGGGAACGGGTCCATAGGGCACGCCTTGTTGAGATCGGTGTAGTCCACGCACATGCGGAAGGTAGGGGGCTTCTGTGCCAGGACCACATTCGCCAGCCATGAGGGGTATTTCACCTCCTTGATGTGCTTAATTGAGAGGAGCATGGCGACCTCCTTCTTCACAAATTCCCTCCTCTCGGCGGAGAGGGGTCTTCTTCGTTGCTGCACTGCCTTTGCCGAAGGGTCCACCGAGAGGCGGTGGGTGATGACCCTTCGGCTGATTCCCGGCATGTCCTCCGGCCCCCACGCAAAGACAGTGGAGTAGGCGCGGAGGGCGTCGGTGATACCGGTCTTCAAATCTTCAGGGAGCTGGGCTCCAATCTTCACGACTCTCTCCGGCTGGGCCGGATCGAGCGCAAAGTCTTCTACGTCCTCGGCCGGTTCAGCCCTCGGCCTTCCTTCCTCTTGGTCGATGGCTCCGGTGATGGTGTCAACACGGAATTCCGTCTTGCTTACCTTCTTAGTGACCTGAAGATAGCAGGCGCGGGCAATTTTTTGGTTCCCCCGGGAGTAGCCAATGCCCCCCTCGGCGGGAAACTTGAGGCAGAGGTGCCTCATGGAGATGATGGCTTCGAGGTCCTCGAGGGCTGGCCTGCCGAGGATGATGTTGTGGGCGCAGTCAATGTTGACGACGACGAACTCCACTTCGAGCTGGGCTCTATGGAGCCCGTCGCCGAAGATCACCGGGAGGGTTATTACCCCCTCGGAATCAACAGTATCGCCGGTGAAGCCGGCAAGAGGGGTCTTAATGGGCCGAAGGGACCCCCTCTCCAGATGCAGCTCTCTGAAGGTGCTGAGGTACATTACATTGACGGAGCTGCCTGTGTCAACGTAAGTTCGGTGAATGATGGTGTCGTTTATCTCCGTCCGAATCACCAAGGCATCCCTGTGAGGAGAAGAAGTGGGGGGGGGAGATCTGTGTTGGTGAAGGTGATGGGTTCCTCCCTCAGTCGCTTTACCGGGGGCATATGAGTGACTTCCCCTACGTAAAGCGATTGAGCCCACTTCTTTCGTTGGCCAGTGGAATCGCCCCCTGTATTGCCACCGGTGATCATGAGGATGTGGCGTTTCTTCTCCTGGTAGTGGGGGTACTCCTACTCCTCTTCTTCCAAGTTCCCGATCTCCCTCTTCTTGCCGAGGGGGATGGTGTTCGGATTTACCCAGGCATTTACCTTCGTATGGTGCCCTCGGGGAGGTCCCTGATGAGAAGGTCCCTCCTGCCGAGGGCTCTGGACAAATTGGGACAGGTGCTCCGCCTGTATTAATCTCTCAATGGCCGTCTTCAGCTGATGGCAGTCATCGGTCCTGTGCCCCTGGTGCCGATGGAAGCGACAGTAGGGGAACTGAGGGTTGATAGCGTGTACCTCCGGGGGTGCGCGAGAGTCGCGCTCAACGAGGCCCCTCTCCTCTGCAAAATCGAGGATGATGCTGACGGGGTGCGTCAATGGTGTCCGAGGGCGGTCCAGGAGAATGGGCTGTGCCCAAGTCTTAGGGTTGCTCTTATAACCTCCCCCGAGCTTGGCTTGGCCTTGCCGAGGGCGGTCATCAGAGGGTCCCGAAGTCTTGGGGTGATTTGGAGGAGCCCCCGGCCCTCGGTTATGCTTGTTGTCAGCCCTCGGGGGCTGCTGGTCCGGATGCTGGTGATACTTCTCCACCTCCTCGGCCTCAGCATATCGGTCCCCCCGCTGCAAAGCCCTTATGTAGTCGCGGGGGGGTTCAATGATGAGGCTCCTTGAAAAGTTACCGGTGCGGAGGACGGTTTGTAGGAGGGCCAGGAGGGTCCCGTCATCAGCACCGTCGACCTTGTCGGCCTCCGTCCTCCAGCGCTCCAGGAAATCCCGAAGGGTCTCATCCTTCTTCTGGCGTATTGTCAGGAGGTGGGAGAAGTGCTTCCTTGTGCGACGCCTCCCGGCGAATTGTGTCAAGAATCGTTGGGCGAGTTCTTTCCACGAATCAATGCAGCCCTCGGGCAGCCTGTTGAACCATTCGTATGCCGGTCCCTCTAAGGTGCAGAGGAACCATCGACACAAATATTCGTCTGACGCCCCCACCATCATCATGCTGTTCTGGTATTTGCTGTAGTGTTCCTGGGGGTCCGTTTTCCCGTTGTAGGGCTGTATGTGTTGCCCTCGGTATTTTTCCGGGATCCGGGCCGCCAATACCCTTGGGGTAAATGGCGTCCGAGTCCGGAGCTGGATGACGGGTTCCCCGGAGCCCTCGGCCACTCTCTTCTGTAACTCCTCCATTTTGGCCATCATGGCCTCGTATTTGAGATCTGAATGAGGGGTGGAGGTGGTGGCGTGAGCTTTGTTGGACTCCATCTCGTCAAGCCGGCGTTGGAGGGCCGCAATAATTTCGTCCCGGGGATCCTTCGGGAGGGTCTCCGCCCCCTGCGAATGAACCCGGGCCGAGTGGGCCTGGTTGATCTGGTGCCGAGCATCATCGGCATGAAGGGGTGCCTTGCCTTTGTCCCGAGGGGGACGCTCCTCGTCTGCCCTCGAAACAGATCCCCCGCTTTCCTGGGGCCTTTGGAGTGCTTTCCCCCCGAGGCAGTCTTGGACCCCTCGGCGGTCTGGCCCTCCTCCGAGCCGGTTGAGGGCGGAAGTACGGGGCCTTTCCCTGTTGTCATTATGGCGGTCCCGGGACTGAACTTCCTGGGAGGACGTATCTTGGGCCACCACCCCTTCGTCGTTTCTCACCCGAGGGGTGGGATTTCCGAAGGGGTGTGGCAGAGGGGGAAGTATGATATTTTCCCCGATCTGAGGGTGAGCTGGAGCCAGGGTGCCGAAGGCACCCGGGTTTTGGGTGAGCGTCTGGATGAAGGCGGAGAGCGCCGATTGCACGTCGATGGTGAGAACCGGAGGGCTGACTTGGTCATCGCTCCGGTTTTTCTTCTTGGCCTCGATGCCGAGGCGGGCATCGGGGGCATTTTGTTGGATCTGAAGGCGTAGGTCGACAGCCGCCTGTTCCAGCCCAGCGATGACACCGCCCTCGAGAGCCCTGTGAGAGGCTTCGGGGGCGTTGACGTCGCCGAGGGCCAGGTTCTTGTCTTCTACGTTTTTTGAGTTGGCACGTGTTGTCCTCACCATTTTGATAGAGGGCTAGTGTTTTGTGTTTGGTCGAGGGGGAGGGTTTCTTACTCGATTGTTCGACCTCTCAACGAGAGCACCAAATGATGGATAGTCTACCCGGGGGTATATATCCGAGGGGTTATTACGGGGAATAACTTAGAGAGAAGTCAGATCAAGTAAGTAAATGTAGAGAGAGAGTGTATTCAATATGAATGCCGTTTTCAACGTCGTTACAAATGAGGAAATGGGGTGCTATTTATAGTAGCAATAAATGCCGGGCAGGGACACGTGTCAAGCGCTTATTGGCCGAGGGGTCATCTCAACTGGTTGGCGCTGGCAGCCGCATGTGGCCGCATTTAATGCGGCTGTTGGATGGGACGTCTGTGCGGGGTACGGTGATCTGTACGCATGTGAGGCGGATATCTTGTCGAGTGAGATGCCTTCGGCTATAGAGCAGTAGCCGAGGGCTCTTCCACCCGATGGCACCCTGGTGCCGAGGGCTCCCAACGCCGAGGGCTACTGTTTTCGCCGTTTTCTCCGAGTTTCTTAATTTCCTTGAGAAACCCGTTCTGTGAGAATTTAGAGCCTTCGGCCAGGGGGCCGAAGGCACCCCGGGCGCGTTGTGTGGGCTGCTTGGTACTCTGGGCGCTGTGATTTGGGCCTGTTGGGCCTGTTGGGCCTTCGCTGGAGTAGTAGGAGTCTGTGGACCGGGGGTTCCCGGGCCATATACTCCATCACTAGCCTTTTCGAGATCCAAACATACCCCAAAAGTTCAGAGCTATGGAATTGAAGGGTTATGATGAGCAAGCATGATATCAATATAGGGGTGGACTCGGGTCCGGGTCGGGCCTAGGCCCGGGCGGGCCGGCGATTCAGAAATGGTGGACCCGGGACCAGCCCAGGTAACCACCGGGTTCGGTCCGGGTCCGGGCCGGGCCCATTATAATTTTTTTTTTGTTTTCCTCTTCCTAATTAACCCCCTTCCCACCCCCAACCCCCCAAACCACCCCAAATGGCCCAAAATACCCAGTCCAACCCCAAAATTTAAAAAAAAATTGAAAAAAAAAATAGGTTTTGGCCCGAACCGGGCCCGGCCGGGTCGGGCCTTGTTTTGGGTGACCCGAGCCCGGACCGGAAAACCCACGGGCCGGGCCTACCCGGACCGGTCACTGACCGGGCCACCGGGTCAGGCCAGGCCGGGCCGGAACAGTACCGGTCCCGGGCCGGTTCCGGGTCGGGCCACCCGGCCCGAGTCCACCCCTATATCAATATCTTTTATTCATCAGAGCATCAAATTTGATATCTATTATGAACTCATGATTGAGAAGAATGCTCATATTTTAAAAGAAACCAACTTATTTATTAATGATAAAGATAACAATATACGGATAAAATGAATAGCCTCAAGCTACACTAGGATGCGACATAGAACAAAAAGATCTCACGGAGTATGGACCATTCCAATTTGCTAATCCCGCAATTATGTAGTCTAATCTCATAAACTTAATGCACTTGTTACTAAATTGAATTATTGAACATAAAGAAAACAAATTGTCCAAATTAATAGAAAGCAGATAAAAACACAAAGCCCAACTTCACCCACCGTTGCAAAGGGATAATTGGTTTGACCCGCCGCTAACTTTCTTCTGGCCAAAGGGTCTCCCCCAGTTAAACTCTCCTCCGCCTGCTTAGTCAAAATGTGTGGCAGTGCTTCTGCATGAGCACCACCTCCTTGCCGTGTTTTTTGCCCTTTGCCGCCCACTTCCATGCTAACCGAGCTTCAACATCCTCATCAATGGAAAACCTAAACCACAACTCTGAATTCATATTGAGTTAAGCTACTATCGTTTCCACTCATTACAAACCAATCCGAAATCCAATCCAACTAAATTAAGATTAAATTTATAAAATATGCTGCCCTAGTTCTGACCTATGCTAGATTGTATATTTCCAGATGCTGCCTCAGGCATTTCTTGAAGCTTTCTTCATTGCATCCTTTGAGTGGAAGAATTTGCAAGGATGAACAAAGCACCAATACTTCATAACCCAGATGTTCAAGAACCTCGGGACCTCTAAAATAGTCCTGTTACATGCGAGGGAAAAACAGTCCTGGTTATGAGGGTAACTTCAAGAACAAAAGTTACATTCTTATGTTTGTTTTTACAAAGAGATTTGAAATATGATAACTTTTTATAATAATAAATTTTTATGTCTAGTTTTTATTTATAATTGTATGATCAAAATTTCTTTGCTACCCCGAAAATTTTATGTGCTCCAACGCAATTCAAAAAAGACAAGTTGGAAGGAACTTGAGAATCTAGCGCCAGCAATTGACAGCTCCCCAGGGTTGCATCTTTCATCTTACGCTGGATAAGATCCCAAATATCAACTCACCTTTTCAGTTACAATCATGACTGGAACTGCAGAAAAATCTGATTCTAGCTTTTGTAATCTCTTTCTTATCATGTCAATATCCTGTAGATATTAAGAAACATATGTACCATATTCATAATTATAAATATGGGTCTAATTAATATGTGTGTGTGTGTGTGCGAGATATGAGAATGAATCCTGCGTGTGATCTAATGACCATGAAAAAGAAGACAATTTTGTAAATAAGACTATACAGCAAAAACATTACCCCAATGCCGCAAAGTCTCCAACCTACGGTTGTGTGAGAGGGGGGGGGGGGGGGGAATGTGGGCAGCCTTACCCTGTACTAAAGCACAAAGAGACTGTTTCCAGATGACCGGTGATGAAAATCGCATCGAAAGTTGCATGGACCAACTTTTGCGTTATTCCATCATATTCCCAAGACAAAAAAATAGTGAGTCTTTGGCTCCATTCGAAATGATGGAAATTTGTAAATATGACTATAAGAGATTTTTTTGCAGTGTAGAGATTCAACAGTGGGGATTTTGCATATCTCACGTTACGAAAACCTCATCCTATAATATAAGACTTATTAGCTTGTTATATTCCTAACTATCATCAAATTCACAAATTTATCCTATGCTTTAACTTTTATAAAAAAAGACTCAAACTTCAACTTTTTTAACAATTACAGTTTTCCGTTGTAATTTTTCAAAATTTACAAATTTCTATAAACCTCAATACTTTTAATATACTTGAATTAAATTATATAATTTTTATTAATTATTTAATTCTACTTTTTTCATGAATTAGCAAGAACTTAAATCAAATCTTATACAGAGTATATTAATCTATAACTGAAAATTTTCTAACAAGATCTAAAAATTAATATAAAATGATACTCTAACTAGTTAGTGATTTAACTAGTTCATATATTAATGCTTTTTATAGAAGTTGCAAAAGTGATTTCAACACTAGTTAATATCTATAGTTTAATAAAATTTATGTGTTACCAATAAAACTTTGAACTCTTTCTATATAGTTGTATACTTGTATGTCACAGTTACATCTTTCTAGTTATCTTTCATATGCTATGCACCATAGTTTGCTCAGTTATTAGTAATATTAGTTTCACCACTAGTAATTTTTTCAGTTCTATAGAACTATGGTTTTGTATAGTTTTTTTAGAAAACAAGTTTCCCATATATATGTATATACATATATATGTTCTATATGTTCTTTAAGGCAATACAAGTTTTGTATAGTTTTTGTACAAATTCTATATGTACATACATACGTACGTATGTATGTATATACATGTATATGTATTCATGTGCGTGTGCACGCATATACACATGCATATGTATGTGTGTGTGTGTGTTTGATTGTCTATTATATGCAAATAAAACAAAGGAAATGAAAGCAAAGGAAAATTACAGGAAGTTTCACTCATACCTTAGGATGAAAAGAATGGTGGTCACTGAAATCTAACCGATCAACATGCATGGGTCCCATCTGAGATAAGCAGAGAATCCCAATTCAGATAAGGGAAGAATCACATTTTTATCCCTTTATTGTGCCAGTTTCTGCAATATAGACCCTCGTCATTTTAGTACAAGGCAGTCCCTCGATTATGTAAAACGTTGTGACTTCAATCCGTTACATTACCCACTATTGCTAAAATCATTGAAGTGAATGTAATAGAAAAGATACACATGCAAGATGTCAAAGTTAAATGACTCCATAATTAAGTTCAAAGGGACTTAATTGGCTATTTCTAAAAATAAGTGAGGGGCTGAATTGCACCAAAATGATGGTGAGAGGCTACATTGCAGAATAAAAAACCATTGAGGGACCAAAATAGTGATTTTCCCATCAAAACATATGAGAAGTAAATCTGGAAAGGTAGTGAAATGTAAAAAAATATTAAACCTTATGAATCCTCTGCACAAATGAATCTGCAGATCCAATGGCAGAGACACATAAGAGTATTGCATGAGATATGTCCTTCAAAGGACATGTGTATGATATATTTCCTACTCTCATAAAGTGTGAAGGAGCTAAAGTGCTGAAGAATATGGGTACTGATTCATTATATTTGCGAACCATTGACTCTATGGCTTGAATTTCCGGCTTCAACACCTAATAGAGTCAGTCAAGTCATTAATCCACTAATGCAATTCGGCATTTATTTCTTTATAAACTAAAAATAGCATATTAAAGGCATTTAAAGAAATTGGTACCATATCTGCATGATGGACTACAACAACATCTGCACGCTTAAGGGCTGAAAACGGTTCTCTTAATGTTCCCAGAGGAAGTAAAAGATGGTTTCCCCAAGGGATCATTGCATTCACCATAACAATCTCTATGTTTCGCCGTAAACTAAGATGCTGCCTTCCGATTTCCAACCACATTAATAGTAAACATCATGTTTATCAATATGCAGAGGGCATATGATTATATGAAGAAGTGGATCTAAAATAACTTCTCATGTCCTCGGTGATGAGAACAGTCACACAAAAATAAAAAAGGTATACATAGAATAAGACAGAGTAAGGCTTTGTTTGGTACTTGAAAAATGGTTTGGGAAGGAAAATAAATACTAGGAAATATAGCTTTTTTAATGTTTCAGTTTACCTTGAAAAATACAAAAGTCAACCAAATTAAAGTTTTTAATTTGTACATATATCTTAATTTCATGACTTTATAAGATAGAATGAGTTTCATGATATCTAGACAAAATGATTTTTTACTTTGATGAGCAAATATGTAAAAAAGATTTACATGAGTTTGAAAGGTGTTTTTCCCGCACATTTTTTCCTTCCTATTTTCATCTCTATACCCCTTCCAATTTTCTTTAGGCACATTTTGAGGTGGAAGATGAGAAGCAATGGAAACTAAGAACTCCTAGTCAGACCTGCATTCCGTCATCTAAGATGGCAACCCCAATTTTATCTCCATACGAAATATTTCCCGAGGAAAGAGTCTCATGATTCAGACTTCCTTTAGGATCAATGCAACCATATCTTTGAAAGTAGATTGAAGCAATTGCCGCCCTGTTTGCACCAACACCTATCTTAGCAGGCGTCCCCTGAAGATGCCTCTCTAGCATCTTAACCTCATCTTCCCCACCATAACCCTGCAAACAAGTTGTGAACAAAGTACTCGAAGCCGCATACACAGTATTCTGAAAGGAAGAGAAGTACCCTGGTAAGAATCAGCGGTGGAGTTCCAGAATCGATGAAGCAGCGAGCAATAAACTCCGCCATTGGAGTCTTTCCGTTGCCTCCCCAAGTCAAATTCCCGACGCTAACCACAGGCACCGGCAGCCTTTGAGTTCGAACAAATCACGTCATCGTTTTGAGAAAACAGCAACTAACAGTCGTTCCGTTTGAGGGAAAGAAAAGCTGCTGTGAATGAGATTATACCTGTGCTGGGGTAAGAGCCCAAGGGCGTAGAGGCGGCGCCGGAAGTGGAGTGCCGGGAGGTAGAGGGAGGACGCTAAGGAGAGAAGTGGGATCAGAGAGAGCTGGAGGGGTGAAAGGGTGGATAGCCATTGAGACGGCGGAGAATTGGCTATTTGGGTCACCAGTCTCGCCACTTTATCCATTTTGATGGATAAATAGAATAATAAGATGAAGAAGAGGAGGCACCCCCCACTATTACTTTGGAACTCTAATTAGAGCAGTTTATCAAAAACACCCTTGCCTAATCACATGATGTTGATCGAGTTGAAATGATCAGGTCCGAAAATGTTCTTGCACATAATAGTCTTCATTCCTCTTTTGAAATAGAAAAGTGCTAGAAATACAAACACACTTACCAACAAGTGATGTGACTATTCTAATCATCATTGATGTAAAAGTGTTGTAAATGTGAATGTGATATGTTAAATAATGTGATGATAGCACATACCCTTTTTGTAAGACTTTTTATAAAAGTTTTTGTACCTCTAGCATAACTCTTTGAAATACGTATAAATGACACGCTTTCAAACAGTTACGGAGTACATGTTTTGTTAACTTTGACACCTTAGTGTACCTATTTTAGCGGTACATTACCTTTAGGTTACAAAATTAAAGTTGTTCGGTGAGGTCATAATTTCTAAACGCGAAGGTACCATGTCCTTGCTCCAAAAAAGGTGGAATCTCCCACCCAGGAGCCCTCATACCCCGACCCGACAGGATTTTTGAGAGGATGTTAATAACGGTGACTCAGTCGGCCCAATGATGGTAGACCTTTTTCCTGTGCGCACCAGAGGCCCAGCCTTATTTCAGGTTCTGTGACCTCCACACGGCCGCTGCGGGTTTCGAACCTTGGTCACTTGCTCCAAATTTCCCACCACTGAATCAACTGAACTATCCGTGCGGGAAAGGTACCATGTCCTACAAATATCAAACCATGCCATTTTTTAAAGTGTTCCAAAAAAAAAAACTCAACATCAAACAAATTAGAAATTTCTATTCATAATTATGCATCAAGATTCAAGATTTTGCCATAATCTAAAATATGCATGTTAGATAAATTAAAATTCATTAATATAATTATATTAGGGGTTTTTACCTCAATATTAGTAATAAAGAGACAACCGACAAAAGAGTGACATTTTCCTAAAAATTCCAAAATTGTGACTAATACCCACACCTACAGTGACACAAAACATAGTGACATCCACCACCACCTTCCACCGATGACCGCTGCCAGTCGAAGACCATCACTGACCATAGTGACACGACAGTGACACCACCAAAGTGGTGCCACCATAGTGACATCCGCTGCGGTGACCACCAATCGCCGCCGCCGGTCGGAGACCATCGCTGACCATAGTGACAAGGACCATAGTGACATGACAGTGACACCGCCAAAGTGGTGCCACCATAGTGACATCCACTGCGGTGACCATCAATCGTCGCCGCCCGCTGCCGGTCACAGTTACACCTCAACAATGACTCCGGAACAGTTACTCCGGCCTCAGTTACCTTGTCAAAGTGACAGTAGTTAAGTGACATCAACAACCCACCACAACCAGCCACATGCTTGCCTTCCCAAATGATGAACATCTTCCCCTGCCCCTGTCAAAACCCATTTCCTTGCATAGTCCATCGCCGGCCGGTGAGTGGTGAACGTACGCCGCCGTCCGGCCACAATGACCTGCCACTGCCGTTCACCACCATCCCACCACTGTGCATCGCTGCGAGAGACATCATCTCACATCCATGCCCCCAATCTTCCCAGGCCCTGCGCACAAACTGTCTCAGCTGGAAACCCTTACCCTGCCCCAGGCCCTGTCACAACCCGTCCCCTACCCGTGGCTGAGTCACGGGTAGGAGAATTATTAGGAGAAGTATGGGCATTTTGAATTTGAATTGCTAAAGATGAGGAAGTGTTCGGTTGAGATAGCTCCAAAGGCGGAATTAGCGGAGGATTATTTTGACTAGGGAGAGCATCACGGGAGCCAGCTAAGTGAGGAGTGTAGAGCACTTGTGTTTCACGTGTAGCTTGCATGGGGTGCATGGGTGATATAGGAGGGGCCATGGACTGAAACAAAAATTCATTAGGAATAAACCTTACATGACGAGAAATATATACATGACCAGAAACAGGTTCTAAACATAGATATGCTGACTGAGAAGTAGAATAACCCACAAAGACACATTGTTTAGACCGAGGGTGCATTTTAGTAGGGACATATGGCCGTAGCCAAGGATAGCAGGTACACCCAAACGGTCGTAATTTGGTATAGTTAGGCACAATATGGTGTAACAGGTAATATGGATTTTGATTTTGTAAAGTAGGAGTTGGGAGGCGGTTAATGAGGTACACTGCTATTTGAAAGGCATAGGACCAGTATATGGTGGGCATGCCGGAGTAATGGAGAAGTGCAAGACCGGTCTCAACAATATGACGATGACGGCGTTCCGCTAAACCATTATGCTCCGGAGTGTGAGGTGGTGAGGTAAAGTGTGAAATTCCATGAGAGTTGAAATAGGACTTGAGTTTGATATATTCACCGCCATTGTCAGAAAATATGGAAATAATTTTGAGATTAAAATATTTTTCAACAAGGCGATGAAATTGAGGGAAAATAATTGAGACATCGGATTTATTTTTGAGAGGATACAACCAGATGTACCGGGTATAGTAATCAACAAAAATCACATAATATTTAAATCCATCAACAGACACGGTACTAGCACTCCAGACATCAGTATAAATGAGTTCAAGAGGCTTTGTTGCAGACATAGTATTAGAGGCAAATGGTAGTTTAGTGCTTTTATTAAGAGAACAAGACATACACGATGACTCAATTGCTGAGTTACAAGGAAATGACGTTTTATTTTGACTGGTAATTAAACTAAACACACGACGCGGCGGATGGCCCAGTGTATGGTGCAAATGAGTCGGATCATTTATTTGAGACACATTTATTTGTGGTGGACACGTGACCGGTGCGTAGTAAACATCATGATGATTCTCCCCTCACATGAGTGGCGCCCCCGTGATGCGATCCTTAACAAGAAAGTGAGAGGAAAAAAATTCAACAGACACATTGTTAGTTTTGCATAATTTGGCTACGGAAACTAAATTTTTGTGAAGACGGGGAACACATAAAATATTAGAGAGGGATAGGTGACGGGTTTTGGTGGGTAGTGTGGTGGTACCTGTGTGAGTAATACAAAGTGACTTACCATCACCAAGTTGAACCTCATCAGGGCCGCCATAATCAGTGTACGATGGTAAATTGGATGCATTGTCAGTGACATGATGAGATGCACCGTTGTCAAACAACCATGGTTGACTAGCACCCGGAGGAGATATAGCAGTGTGATTTATCACTGGTCCAGCAGGATGAGGAACATTATTGGCACGTAAAAAACGTTGTAGCTTCCGACATTGTTTTACATCATGACCAGAATTATCACAGAAACGGCACACGATGACACTAGATGAATTCCGAAAGGATGAGGTGGCTGAAGTACCACCACGCCCACGCCTGGAGTAGGACCCACGACGCTCCATGTTGGGTGGAAATCGACGATCGTTGTTGGAGTGTGAATGAGGCATGATTTGAGTGGCATTGGTGGTGGGTAAAATTTCCTGAGATGATGCAGCAATCTCATTGATTTGTGTTTCTTTGTCAAGTAAAATTTGTTGAAGCTGAGTAAGTGGTAAGGGAGTTTCCCGGACTCGAATAGCAGATGTGATATCCTGATATTCAGACCCGAGGCCATTCAATATGCTGATAACGAGGTCTTCTTCTGAGACTGGATTTTGGGCAAGTGCTAAGTCATCCGCAATGGCTTGCATTTCAGTCAAATAGGCAGTAATTGAACGAGATCCCTTCTTGGTGCGGGCAAGCGTGGTCTTGAGAGAGATAATACGTCCACGGGAAGAACTGGCATACGTGAGGGATAATTTATCCCATGCATGTTTAGCCGTTGGTGAGGAGGAGATCACCGGTTGAATAGTATCGTAACAGCTTCCAAGTAGAGCACTGAGAAATGTCTTGTCCTGTCGATACCAGATGGTATAACAAGGATTGATTTGAGATTTGGCATCATCAAGAAATTGATCAGGAATAGTGAGACCACCGTCAATATATTCTTGAAGTCCTAACCCGATAAGGGCGGAATGGACTTGGCATTTCCAGATTGGAAAGTTGGACACCGTGAGTTTGATGGGAAAATGGGTAGTGGCAGTGAGCGGTATGACCGTGGTGGTGGCAGTGACTACCATGATGACGAGAAAAAAATAATAACAGGAACTAGCTCTTTAGAGAATAGCTCTTGATATCATGTAGAATTGAATAAATGTGATATATTGGTGTATATTTAGTCATGCATCTGTACAAGTATATATACACGAAGCCATAGTGATGAGATAGACTTGGCTAACTAACTGCCTAAGACTAGCGTGCAGTAGTATAAATTAGTTACACACTATTATCTAAATACAAACTAGATAATATTAATTATACAAATAATATTAAAATGATTATGTCGTAATACCCCAAACCTTGCCGGAAATCTTTCCCATGCCCCTGACTCTAATCTCAGGCCCGTTCGTATCCGCCACCACCTCACCTGTTTGTTACAGCCAAGGAATAGTCTGCCACATTGCTGCCCAACTGGGAACAAAATCCAAATCTGTGCAAATCCAACGCACATTGTGAAGTGATTTGCACTCTCAAATCGATGGCCACCTACAGTCGATGGTGTTGTCGTCTACGAATCTGCAGGCGGAGGTGTCAGATCCTACAATAGACAAAGTCAGATTGCAGCGGAGAGCCGGAGATGATGGATGCAAGTCGCGGTGGAGCCTTGGGCGGTGCTGATTCAGCGCTTCAAGGATGAAAGAGAAAGGCAGAGAGCAGGTTCAACGGAAGGTGGAGCCTTGAGTGGTGTTGGTTCAGCACCAGGACGGAAGAGAAAGGGTCAGAGAGAAGGTTCAACGGAAGAGAGAAGGTTGGTGCGTTGGAATAATTGAAGGCCGGTCATTTTTCTGTCATTTTTAAAAATTGTCATATTTTTTTTCTAATAAAAGATGTGAAGTAATATTTGTGCCATTGTTTCATTATATTATGACACAAAAAGGTTGATTGTATCTTTTTTTGTGAAAGCTACGCATAAATCTTTCATTAAAAGATACTCAACTATTAAGGGAGTGTTTGCAATCACTTAAAAAAATCACTTCTTAGCTTTTGACTTTAAAAAATCACTTTAAAGCCAAAAGTTAAAAGTTGGTATTGAAGTGCTTTGAACTGCTTTTTTGGTTTTTTTGGTAAATAAATGGAACCTTGAGGATAGTTATATCGATTAATGCAAGCAGCGAAACTCCAAAATACCCCTCTAAGCCGTGCCTCACCTCTGCAGTTCTCTGTCTTTTGCCACACACACGTGTATACTTTGTATATGTTTATATATATACTAGCGGTGCACGCACTACAAGCGATAGTGCCCAATGTAGCCATAAAAATGTGAATTAAAAAAAAGTAATATTACAAAGGGTAAATTCAAATGACATTTGAATATAAATATTTCATGATTATTATAATTCTTTAAAATTTTAAGAGTATTTTAGGATAAAAAAAGGGCAGCCACATAGAAATTAGAGAAAGTTTGTTTTAATAGGTAGTGTATTATTGAGATCAATGCAATTTTCTAAAGCATTTTAATATAGTCACTGAAATCCTTTTCTTTAATATGACTATTTATCTGTTAATGTGTACTACCATTTGAAATCCAAAAGTTAGGTTTGTTTGTACCATCTATCCAAAATTTAGGTTTGTTTGTATCATTGATTATATCAATTTTTTCTTTGTGAGCCTGTAACTTTTATAATGTATATTTGGAGTGCTCTATACTTATTTAGAACTTGTATTTTCAATAACTGAAGTGAAATGCACTAGATAAGGAGTTAAAGAACAATCCCGATATACTCTAAAATGTAATAGGTATATTACTACATAATGCAATACTATTGAATATTATCTTAATACAACTACTAAAAATGAAATCTATAGATGTTTCATAAGCTACTTAATTAATACATCTATATATTGCATTGTAGTGAGTTCATCTTCTTGCTATAACAACTTATTATGGTAAGGTAATATATTATATACAAAGGTTAACACCCGTGTCGTTTGCCCTTGTTTTTTGCAGATAAAGTAGCAGTTTCATTGTTGTCATCATGTTGAGCTACATTGTCATCAAATTCATTCCCTCATGCAAGATTCAGCCTCCGCTTTGCCTCTGATGTTGAAACCTCCATATTGTTACAAACAAAATAAATGCACTAGTCTAATGGTATCACGACACATGTAAATGTGATTGGAGAGATACTTGGGAAATCTGGCTGATTGGTACTGTGTGTAACAAAATTGTACCATAACACACGTGTGTGCTACACGTGTGTCATCTAGAATATTCTTAATTCTAACTGTCAGAGTGACGTGGCGTTCGCATAGTCCTGGCGACGTGGTTGTAGCTTGCGCGATACTTGATTGCTAAAATGTCTAAGTCCACATTTGATTGATGAGGCCCCGAGCTCTGTGAGATCAGAGCTTGGGTACAATGAGCTTATTTAAGAGGATTTGATCTTGATCTCCAGTTTGTTCGGTGGCTGTCATTTCTTTATCCATGTTGACTCTCCCCGACTTGTGCATGTGTTCGAGGTCGGATCTGGTACCAACCTTGGTGTGTTCGAGGTCGGTCTCAGATTCGGGGTTATCTTGGTGATCTGGGAGCCCGATGTTGCGCTGACTTCGGGTGGGTCGAGGTCGGCCTCGACGTAATATATACTTAGCGTTCTGGAGACTTCCTTTGTCTGTGGGTGTTCGGTACCCCTGGGATATATGGGAATATACTCCATCACAACTCATAACCCCATCACCCTACCCACATTACCATTCTTCGCACAACCCTAGAGGTCTAAGACACTATTAAGTACGTAAGTAATGAATGTGAATATGGATACACTCTGTTTACCTTCTTTGTGCAACCAAGTTCAGTTTCTCATTCAAGAATGTTACCCCAAACTCATCAACGTCTACATAATGAAACAAATGGACAGTGACTCCCATGTATGTAGGTGTCCATGCGTGATTGATACTTACTCCATACAACGACTTCAAGGTAAATATGTTTTCGCAACTGGATGACACTTAAAAATATTTAATTTGGTAGTTCAATCATTCAATACGATTCTCACAATCACATAAACAATATTCATAAATATAAAGACCAAATTTTCATTTAATCATACACACAAGCCCTTAAGTAAAAAAATGAAAAATGGGATCTTATCCATATAAGGTAAATGGAACCCGAGTAAAAAGGCGACCCCCACCCTACCCTTCCCAGAAGAATAAGGACATCTTCATTCAACTTTCTAATCCAAAACATAATGACAATTTCATGACGAAAAAATTCCGCTTTTGGTTCCATGACTATTATGTCACTTCCACATTACTCCCTTGACTTTCAATTTAACCAAATCTAGTACGTGACCTTTTCCCCTTCACCACCCGTCGTCCTTCCGACCACAACTATGGCAAATTTTAACCGGAAACCAATTAATGAAGGTTAGTTGCGTCATTTAATAGCATTTATAGGGTTTTTATCAAAAAATTCAACTTTTGATCCCATGACTATTATGCCTCTTCCACATTACTCCCTTGACTTTCGATTTAACCAAATCTAGTTCGTGACCTTTTCCCCTTCACCGCCCGTCGGCCTTCCGAGCTGAACTCCGGCAAATTTTAACTGGGAACTCATTTATGTAGAAATATTGGGGGCATTTTAGTAATTGTATGTTGTTAAAATGGCTACCTACAAAATTAACTTCAATTAATGTTGAGTTAATACGCCGGCTTCCTTCATTCTCAAAACCGAAGTCTTCTCCAATTTCCCAAACTTTTGTAAGCCTGAAAAATCCCCAACCATCGTTCGAACAATGAGGACCCGTCGGGACCGTCAGAGTGAAGGAGAAGGAACAAGTGCTGAACGACGTTCGCCAAAAAATGCTAGTGATAAAGGTAAGAGGGTGAACTTTTTTTAAAAAGAGTGGAAGAAAGTAATGAATACAAGGCTGAAATGAGGTGTATATAATTGGTGTTTGCACATGTTACGGGTTTTATGTTAAGACTGAAAAAGAGGTTTTTTTTTTAAAAGAGTGGAAGAATGTAACATGTGCAAACCTCAATTATATACACCTCATTTCAGCCTTGTATTCATTACTTCCGCTCTTTTCAAAAAAAGTTCAACCTCTTACCTTTATCACCAGCATTTGTTGGCGAACGTCGCACTTGTTCCTTCTCCTTCACTCCGACGGTCCGGACGGGTCCTCATTGTTCGAACGATGGTTGGGGATTTTCCAGGCTGATGGGAGTTTGGGAAATTGGAGAAGACTTCGATTTTAAGAATGAAGGAAGCCGACGTATTAACACAACATTAATTGAAGTTAGTTTTGTAGGTAGCCATTTTAGAACATACAATTACTAAAATGACTCCAATATTTCTACATAAATGAGTTTCCGGTTAAAATTTGTCGGAGTTGTGGTCGGAAGGACGACAAGTGGTGAAGGGGATAAGGTCACGGACTAGATTTTGTTAAATTGAATGTCAAGGGAGTAATGTGGAAGTGACATAATAGTCATGAGACCAAAAGTGGATTTTTTCGATAAGAAAACTTATAAATGCTATTAAATGATGCAACTAACCTTCATTAATTGGTTTTCGGTTAAAATTTACCGGAGTTGTGGTCGAAAGGACGACATGTGATGAAGTGAAAAAGTCACGAACTAGATTTGGTTAAATTGAAAAGTCAAGAAAATAATGTAAAAGTGACACCTTTGTGACAAACATTTAATGGACAAAGAATTGAAAAAATTAGCTGATAATAATGGTGATAAAATGAAAAACAAAGTTATCAAATACTCAAAGAGGGAGTAAGGTGTTCCATTTTTTTTACATTTTGTTAATGACTTGAACGCAGCCGCGGGCATATTAACGCCGTCTTTTATGCAGGCCATCGCCACCCGAGCCTGATGTACGGATGGCAAAAAAAGCAGAACGCACCAGATGAGTGATTATCGAGTAAAGCAGGAGAGAGAAGAGGTCTGATGGAGAGGATTTAGGGGAAGAGGGAGAAAGGTAGATTCAGGGTTTTAGAGAGAGAAAGCCGTAGAGATTGAAATACAAAGACGAAACCCGAAAAGGATGGGCCAGATCGTGAGGAGGGGGAAGAAAGGCCGTCCATCGAAGTCGGATCTCGCAGCGCGCAACAGCGCTGCTGTGGGTGAGGCGGAGGGAGAACTCCGGCGTAGTGGCCGGCGGAGAAATGTCCGGTACACTTTCGACTTCGACGATTTCCTCGACGACGATTATTTTGATGACGACGACGAGGACGACAGCCGGAAAGAGAAGAAGCTTGAGCTACTGCTCCAGCTCCAGGGTGATGATAACGACGGTGAGGACGATGTCTCTCCAAGGAGAACTCGGAACCTGTCTCACGCTCCAGCCGCGTCTGCATCCGATGGAGATGCAGATGGTAAACCATCTAAAAAAAGAAAAATCTTCGGCTACGATGAGGAATACGAAGTAAATGATGATGATGATGATGATGATGAAGAAAATGAAAATGAAAATGACTACGAGGTACTTATTGTCTGGGATCTAGCTGACAGTTTCAAAATCTGAAAGGCACATAGTATATCTATGCGTTAAATTTGCTCAGAGATTATGCATATACAAAGAGAGTGGGAATTCAGCTCAGTCCAATCCCTTTATTGATCCAAACTTCTGCATAGCACTGCCTAAGCAAATTTATTTTAGTGGCTATTTGATATTTCTAGTTGCTATGAACGGAAGGCAGTGTTTCTATATAACTCTCAGCCTCTCAGGGTCAAGTGTCAAAAGGAATCCACACATCATCTGATCATGCTACCCAGTATCTATTTTCTTTTTCTACCTTATTCGGGCATGCTTCCTTTTGCTGTGTTAGAAACATGTAATGGTTTAGGTTCTTCATATTCAAGATTAGTCATTAAGGTTAATGTTTCTATTGAACTCTCTGCAGGTACGTGATAGAAAGACAGAGTGTAGAAGTGTTGAATCTTCTCCAGGTCTATTAGCTTTTGCATCATGTGTTTTGACCAGTTTCATGAACTCTTTGTTTCTGGAAATGGCTCAACTGACCACCCCTCTGTTTGAACAGGAACACCATCCAGACGTACTTCTGGGATTTCATTACCAGATAAGAAGATGCTTGAATTAATTCTGGACAAGCTTCAAAAGTATGCTTTAAGCCTTTAATGTTTGGAAAGAAATTAGAAATCTTTGTGTGTTCATCACTTCATTGTTAGCTGTCTAACTGTCTTAATGTACAATTATCTCATTGTTGTATTTCAGGAAAGATATTTATGGGGTATATGCTGAACCAGTGGACCCCGAAGAGGTAAGTGGTCATGTGAGTGAGTGCTTAGCTTTCCTTATTAAGCTATTACTTAAATTTGGGTTCTAATTTTGTTGGGTTGGTTATTTTGCAGCTTCCCGATTATCATGATGTGATTGAACATCCTATGGACTTTTCCACTGTCAGGAACAAACTGGGAAATGGATCATATGCAACATTGGAACAATTTGAGGTAAATATGGGAGCATCCTGTTGTCAACCTGGGTTGATTTTATTCGATTTTCTGCTCTTTGGAGTGGTGATGGCCTTTTATCTCTAACTGATGATAGGAAACTAAATGATTCTTGATATTTCACCACATTACCTAAATCATTACAATTGCCTATGAGCTCGAATGTATCATGGTTTCTTCATTTTTAATATCTTTTGGCGATTTTGGTCCATTCATACATTTCATTTTTATTTTTAATCAACATAATATACTAACAATCATCAATTGTTGTCAGAGTGATGTCTTTTTGATTTGTTCAAATGCGATGCAATACAATGCCTCCGACACAATATATTATAAACAGGTAGACTACAATCATTTATTCAGTCATTTTCTGTTCGATGTTTCCATTTTCAAATCTCTTAAGGTCATTATTATGCAATTCCTTTTGAATAGGCTTCCTCAATCCAAGAACTAGCCACAAAGAAATTTCAGAAGTTACGAGTCAATGCTGAACGTGCAGTGCGTTCTGAAAAAGAGGTCAAGTCGGACCAGATGCTGAAACCCAATCCCATTGTAAAAAAGCTTGTAAAGAAGCATATGGTCCGAACAGCACAGGAACCTATTGGCTCTGATTTCTCATCTGGTGCAACTCTTGCACATGCCGGAGATGTGCAAAATGGCTCGAGTGCTTGTCTGGGCAACTCGGGCAGAATTAGCATCATTGACGGGCCTATAGAGGGAGGTGTTTCATTGACTGACATCTTGGACAAGGAAGAATTACATTCAGGTGCATTAAGTTTACTTTCTTTAAGTTATCCAGATACTTTCTTATCTTTTTCTGTGATTTTGATACATTTGTCTGTGTTTTTAATAATACAATAGGGAAGGGTCATCTTGGTAGATTTGGAAGGAAGTCAGTTTTACAAGATGAAAACCGCCGTGCAACTTATGATGTATCAACTCAATATACTTCAAGTTCAGAATCTGTGTTTTGCACTTTTGATGCAGAAAGCAAGCATTTGGTTCCAGTAAGTAGGCGATCAAGAACCTTTTTATTATAATTTATTGCAGAAGTGCTTTTATCATGAGTAGCTTCTCAAATAAGCATTAATCGTTTCAATATCAAGTTTTCCATTTTTCTGCCAAAGTTTTACTCCCTCCGTCCCATAAATTTTATCCTAGGAAATGTATAGTTGTGAATAAAGTGGAATGTTTAAGAAAGTGAGAATAAAGTGGAAATGTATAATTGAGGTTGAGTAAGAAAAAGGTAAATGAATGTTAGCCACACAAAACTTTCCAAAAAGGGAAGTGGGAAGAATTTTTTGGGACATCCCAAAAAGGTAAGTAGGAAGAATTTTATGGTACGGAGGGAGTATTTTTTAGTGAAAGTACTTAATTTCTTCTAGCAAGCTTATTTGTTGAAAAATAAATCATCTTAAGTCTAAACAATTGTTGACAATAATCGTTTTTATCGAATCTGGATTGTTAGGTGGGGCTTTATGCCGATCATTCATATGCAAGGAGCCTTGCTTGTTTTGCTGCAACACTCGGGCCGATTGCCTGGGAATATGCATCTAGGAGGATTGAAAAAGCACTCCCTCCTGGATCAAAGTTTGGTCGCGGGTGGGTCGGTGAGTATGAACCACTTCCAACCCCGGTATTGATGATGAAGAAGCATACACTGAAGGAACCATCTTTCCTGGCCAAATTGACACAGAAAGTTGAGGTTGAGGAAGATAATATCGAAGGACCCAAGGAAAAAGATGAAGTGAACCAGCAGGAGTATGTTGGTTCAAAACCCACGACTCCAAACAATATTGAAAGCAAACCATCTTTCCTTGCATCATCAGAAAAGAAACCTCCTAATTCTGCTAGTCCCCTATACCACCCTCAATATTTTCAATCCCAAAGTTTTGTTGAATCCAATAAGCTGATGAGACAGTTCGAATTAAATTCTCAACCTCTACCCTGCAAACAAACTAGTGTTGAACAGATTAAGGTGGCTCCAAAGAACAGAAATCTAATGTCTCCTTCTGCACCCCCCCAACTGCTTGATAGAAAAGGTAAAGATAATAGCAGTCAGGGCAATGAGACTGTTTGCCTCGCATCTGGCGGCAAGCGGGGGCTAAGTGATGCTGTCCAGCTTCCAAGTATGTTATCCAAGAAGTCTAAAACAAAACTCAACTCTTTGCAGCAGTCTCCGGGAGCTGATTCAAACAATGCTGCCTCTGCCGCTGCTTCACGAGCATGGATGTCAATAGGAGCATCGGGAGGTTTTAAACAAGTCAATGATGGTCAGATATCTGCTGAGTCCTTGTATAATCCATCTCGTGATTTCCAGCCACACAATTTACAATTTTGTCCCTCATCTGGTGGGATGCATTCCCAGCCTGTGAAGGGGGGCTATCCATTTCATGCATTTATGTCACACACAACAAGGGGGGCAGGGATTGATGGTCAGGTCCCGAACAGACCACAGGTGATGTTCCCACAATTCGTTGGACCTACTGACTTGTCAAGATTCCATGTGGCTTCACGACACAATCTCAATGCACCACCTGCAGCTCTGTCAAGATCAAGACAAGAATCAGTCCCTCCTCCCGATTTGAACATTAGTTTCCAATCTTCAGGGTCTCCTCCTGGCAGAGCATCTTCAGGCATTCTGCTTGATTCTCAGCAGCCAGATTTAGCCTTGCAGCTGTGAGAAGTTTTCAAGATGAACCCTTGGTGACATTCACTGGACTTCCTTTACAGTTCTTTGTGCAACAAGATTCTTGTTATTGTGCAAAAGTATTCATTTTAGTCTGAGGTTCGAATAGATTATGGTGATAGGATTGTGCAGCTTCTGTAAAGGGCCTCAGGGGGGAGGCAGGTTGTAATACTATTCTAGTAGCTGGGTTAGAGGTTATTTATGTAGGCTACTCCCAAATGGAAATCAGCATTCTTGTACAACCGTTCACAGGAAGATTGCTATCATTGTTCTTGTGCAATTGTTGTGTGATCTAGCAGGCAGGTTGTAATACTATTCTAGTAGCTGGGTTAGAGCCTAGAGGTTATTTATGTAGGCTACTCCCAAATGGAAATCAGCATTCTTGTACAAACCGTTCACAGGAAGATTGCTATCATTGTTCTTGTGCAGTTGTTGTGTGATCTAGCAGGCGGGCAGATTTTGTAGTAAATAATAGAGGAAAGGGCCCAAATGAGTGATTTTCAAACCTGTCAAGTGACACCCAAGTTCATATACTTGAGATGTCTCAATAATTGGAAATATTGGTTTTTAAAAAGTGACTAGTCACTAGAGTACTAATAGAATCATAGTAACTTATGTTCAATTTTTAAACTTAAATTAATTTATAGTAATTATACGTCATATTTGTGTACACAAGTTTTATTTTAGTAATATTTTTGAAAAAAATATTACTAAAATAATCATTTTAACCAAACATCGAGAAGATGGCTTGCTTATGTGGCGTTTATTTATTATTTAATGAAACATTTCGTTTGTTCTTTTTTCTGCAAATTATACGGTATAGCTGATAATTTTATACTCAGTAGTTGTTTAGAACATGAACTCATGAAGGTTAATATGTATTGCGACAAGATGTTTTTTATTGGATTGAAATTTTCTAGTCTGAATTTTCTGGTCTGCTTTTTGTGTATTTTATAACTGTCCAAGTTTGGTCTTGTTTGATCGATTTGGTCTGAGACTGAAAATAGTCCAAGTAAAAATATCTTTAATCGGGGATTAAACATATTAATATACTTATTCATATATTTATATTTACAGAATAATTATTATGTGGAGTCGAATGGGCATGACCCTTCGTCCAGCCACCATCATATATATATATATATATATATATATATATATATATATATATATATATATATATATATATATATATATATATTTGTGTGTGTGTGTATTTTATTTTTTTTGGTATATATATGTGTTTGCCAAATTCTTTTCAATAGTTTATTTAAGTGAATTTCCAATTGAATTTTAAGATGAGATTTATTAACATAATCTATACTTCATTGAGAATATTCTCACAAAATTTCATTTTACATCAAAATATCACAGGGAACTATCTCAAATGACGATGACCAGACGTCATATTATTGAGAAGGTTATTATGAGATTCTAATAATAATGAATTGTAGGAGAAGATTATTATGAGAGTCTAATGGATGTGTGACTTTCCATAATCTTTTCTTAAGCTTTTTAGGGCAAAGCTAACATTATTGGTTGCGCTTTTCAATACAAAATCACTAACACCGGTGGCATACTTGGTCCAAAAGGTTGAATGCCCAACCCCAAGGCCCTCACCCGACTCGACAGGATGGTGAGGAGGTTAATCATGGTGACTCAGTCACAAAAGTGGCGGTAGGCCTTATACACGTGCGCACCAGAGGTCTAACCTTATTTCAGGTTCTGTAACATCCACACGGCAGGTGCAGGTTTCAAACCTTGGTCACTTGATCCAATTTTCCCACCACTCGACCAACTGAGCTACCCGTGCGGGTACACGAGTGGCATACTGATACTAGTACATGCATACAAGATTATGTGAAACGCAAGCTATGATCAAATATTGATTTGCTTTACAATTTATTTTACCAACCAGTCATATTCACATTAACAATGATTCTTGACAAAGACAATAGCTACTAGCTAGTCTACATACATTCAAAGAGCAATGGTAAGAAAACATATACAAACGAAAAATGGCAAATAATAATTAAATTATTCAAGAAAACCAGTTTTGGTCAAAACAGCATTTCTAACTCTGCTAAGGTCTCTGCCTTTAAGAGTCCTTCCAACACCTTCACACACAGAGAAAGAAGAAATCTGATGATCCCTTGCATGCTTCCTCGCAAGCCATTCATGCGGAGGCTCCACCCCCTTACCCTCGCCTCCTCCTTCTTCCTCCTCACTTTCCCAGCTACTTCTCACCTCAGAGCCGCTGCCGCTGCCGCCGCCGTAGATCTTTGACCAGTCAGGTATGTGGACAGGGGCCGACTGCCGATGGGCCTTCTTGCTTGGTTCTCTTTGGGAGCGACCTATAGGGATTGGTTTGGCTGCTGTTATCTTCGGTTTATCCCTTTCATGGAACCCATTCCAACCATCTTCTTCTTCTTGAAGCTCTTCAATTTTGAAAGATGTCCAGCCACTGCTCCCTTGGTTGTATAATCCATAGCTTTCCTCTGGCGCTGACATTATTCCCCCCCTGGTTGAGTTGGTTGTACAAACATTTATTTTCCTGCTAGAAAAACTTTAAGCTACTGTTTGTACTTTGTAGCATATCATTGAACTGACATTTAAATGAAAAAAAATCATTTGTACCCACTTTTTTGTACACTCTTGCTGACGTTGGTGAGAGTTTTTCTTTGTCAATAGCCTATTTCAAAACAGGTTATTCACAGGAAAAAAGCTTTGCACGGACGTGTGTATAAAAGAGTGTAGACCAGAAGAATTTTCGTGTTTAAAAAAGTCTTGACAGAGAGTAAAATTGAAATGAAACCATATATACATACTTGCAGCTGGAGCTTAATTGTTTATGTAAGGAAGCCTTAGGTTGGTAGTTGTCGGCAGTATTAGGCAACTTTATTTATGATGGTGATGAGAAGCAAGAGAAGAAGATGATGGATGCTTTCTTCTTCGATCACTCTTTTAATGGCAGGATTGTATGCATCTTATAGAGGGTGGGGTGGGGGTGGGGGTGGGGGTGGGGGACAAGGAGCAATAATCCATAGATGGAAAAGCAAAGCCCCGTCTACTCAACTCTACACCTAGCTCTCCTACATTAATTAATGGAGCTGTTATATAATGTTAAATTGCTGGAATCTAGCTAGTTATACATCACAATTACAAATGTTTTTTTGAGTTAATTAATGACCACTTATACACACGTTCATTCAAGTGACTTTTAGCACTTCAATAATGCTTCTCCCGTCTCGATGAAATTAACTCTCACTCATACCGAACATTTTTTATACTAGTACAAAACATACTTATCCGTCCCTTTTTATAGTGAATAACTTTTTTTCCTTTTTCAACTCAAACATTGACAAATTTTGACAAATAATATGTTTATATATGAAAGTATTGATTATATAAAAGTGATATGGAAATGTTCTTTCCTACAACATAATGATAAAAGTATAAATACAAAATAACACCGCATTTTATATATTTCGATGCAATATTTTTCAATAATTTGGACCGTTACATTTGTTTTAAGTGAAATTCAATGTGCATTAGGTGAAATTGAAATGCGCAGCACAAAGGCTACGATACAGTGACATTATATGAAGATGAATTGTGCATTAAGTGAAATTGAAATGTGCACTAGGTGAAATTGAAATGTGCAGAATAAAAAGTATGATGTGATGTTACTTTTGTACCTTTTATTCCACACATTTTAGTTTCACCTAATGCACACTTGAGTTAAAATTTATATTCTGCACATTTCAATATCATCTAACACACATTTCAGTTTCACCAAATGCACAATTCAGTTCCACATAATACAATCGAACGGTCCAGATTCATTCTCATTTCTGGAATTCCCAGGAGAGAAATGAGAATGAATCTGGACCGTTCAATTGTATTATATGGAACTGAATTGTGGATTTGGTGAAACAGAAATGTGTGTTAGATGATATTGAAATGTGCAGAGTAAAAATTTAAACTCATGTGTGCATTAGGTGAAACTGAAATGTGGAGAATAAAAGGTAGAAAAATAACAATACATCGTACCTTTTATTCTGCACATTTCAGTTTCACCTAGTGCACATTTCAATTTCAATAATGCACAATTCAGCTTCACGTAATGTCACTGCATCCTACCTAGGGATGGACCCGGGCCGGTCCGATTCCGGGCCGGGCGGGCTTTTTTCTTAGAAACATGGGCCCGGAACCGGCCCGGGGTGATACCGGGTCCGGTCCGGGTCGGGCCTACCCGACTGGGTAGTGTGCCGGTTCGGGCCGGGCCCGTGCTATTTATTTATTTTTGTTTAAATATTAAATTAAGATTACTTGGACATAAAAAAGTTAAAATATATTTATTTGAAATATGTAGTACAATTGAAAATTGAGCAAAAATTAAAACACGAAATACACTTTTTAATAAATAAGAATCAATCAGAATTTCCGCCATCTTCGGTTGTTTCTTCCATAAAGTGTGGCGGGTGGGTTCAATGCTAATTTCTTGAGTTCTACGTTTGGCCTTCAACCAATCGTGGAAGCAAACAAGCGTCTCAAGAGAGTTTGCGCTCAATCTTGTTCTATAATCCGTTAGGACGTTGTTGGCCGCACTAAACTCTTGTTCCACAACAACTGTTGATACCGACATTGCTAACACTTGCTTAGCCATCTTTGATAAGATCGGGAACATTCTATCTTTTTCCTTCCACCACTGAAGAACGTCAAAGTCATCCCCTTCTTCATACTCAACAGGAAATGTTAGATACAAAGAAAGCTCGTTGATCGAGCTTTGTTCATTAACCGGAGTTGATTTACTTTTTTTCATAAGATTGCCAAATGAAGATTTCAAAATTGGGTTTCCTTTAGATAAAGAAGATGTTCGTGGCGGGGGAGGGGGCCAGGCCGGTTCCGGCCCGGCCCGGCCCAATTAGGTCCGTCCCTAATCCTACCTTTTGTGCCGCACATTTCAATTTCATCTAATGCACATTGAATTTCACTTAAAGCAAATCTAACGGTACAGATTCATTCTCATTTCTCTCCTAATATCATGTTCTTATTTGAACCAAAACCTATATATATATGAGATCAAATACAAATCATGCTTAATTTACTAACCTACTAACCATGCTTAATTCACTTTCTCCTTTCCTCGAGAAGAGCCAATGGAATTCCAACGGGCATATGCTGATTACTCTCCTTTTACCATGATACACGACTCATATTTTTTATGCCTTCTAGTCTACATATATGGATGATCTTTTGATTGCCGGATCGGATTCTGTTCAAATTGATAAACTGAAAGCATGTCTTGCTAAATGTTTTCCCATAAAAGATCTTGGTCGTCTCAAATATTTTTTGGGCATTGAGGTGACCCGTGGTCTGACTGGTGTGTTTCTCTGCCAACGAAAATATACACTTGATATTCTTGAAGAGCTTGGCTTGTCTGGTGCACGTCCATTTCCCATGGAACAAACCCAGAAACTAGCTCTATCAACTAATGTCCCTCTTTCTAGTCCCAATTAGTACAGGAGGCTTGTTGGCAAATTAATTTTACTTGACTTTGACTAGACTCGAACTGTGCTATTCTGTCCACGCCCTTGCTCAATTCATGCAAGCACCTCGCATGGATCACTGGGATGCCGCTATTCGCATCTTGCTGTATTTGAAGGGTTGACCAGGACAAGGAATTCTTCTTCAAACTAATTCCGAGTCACCGCTCGTTGACCGATTATCTAGTTTTCTTGGGAATCTCTCCGGTGTCCTGGAAATCTAAGAAACAGCCCAGTATCTTTCTAGATCATCTTTGAAGCTGAGTATCGTTCTTTAGCAACTTTAGGTTGCGAACTGTTATGGGTTCACAACTTGCTTCATTCTTTGGGTGTTTTGCTTTCTCGTCCCAAGTCAGTTTTTTGTGATAATAAGGTTGCACTTCATATTGCTTCTAATCCTGTGTTTCATGAACGTACGAAACACATTGAAATAGACTGTCATTTTGTTCGGGACCTTATTCAGAATGGAACTATTGTTGCTCATCATATTCCTTCAGCTCAACAGTTAGCTGATACTCTCAGTAAACCATTGGGTGCTCAACAATTTTCATTTCTCATGCACAAGTTGGGCATCGTAAATCCCTCTGCTCCCACTTGAGAGGGGTGTGCAAACTTATTGAGCATTGTCCATATTTACTTTTATTAATTGGAGGTGTAATGTTAAATTGGTGGAATCTAGCTAGTTATACATCACAATTACAAATGTTTTTAGCACTTCAATAATGCTTCTTCTGTCTCGATGAAATTAACTGTCTCTCATACATAACATTTTTTATACTAGTACAAAATATACTTCCTCCATCCCTTTTTAGTTAATCATGTTTCTTCTTTTCCCACTCAAATATTGCCAGATTTTGACAAATAATATGTTTATATACGAAAATATTGATTATATAAAAGTGAAATGAAAATGTTTTTTTCTAAAATATTATCATAAAATATAAATACAAAATAACACCACGTTTTACATTATTTGTATTGCATATTGAAGTTCAAAGTGTTGCATATTATTGAATTTGTATGTTAGTAAATTAAGCATGGTTTGTATGTGATCTCACCGTCGTCCGGTCGCCGCCGTTTGGGGCGGTTATCGGTGGAATTTTGATGAATTTTTTAGCAATGTTTTTCATCAAGTCTAGTTTATCCAAAAAATATTTTAGCAAAAAATTCAATCGGGAAGGAAGTCAAATAATTTTTGGAAGATAGCTGCGTTTTATATGTATATTTTGGCGCAGTTATCTTCCAAAAATTATTTGACTATCTTCATGATTGAATTTTTAGCTGAATATGTTTGTGGATGAACTACACTTGATGGAGAACATGCCATTAAATTTCATTAAAAAAATCCATCTGGAAGGGCCCTAAACACCGCCGTCCAGACAGCAGTTCCGGTCAGGAAGGCCTGACCAGAAGATTACTCTATACATATATACTCCGTATATATATATATATATATATATATATATATATATATATATATATAGAGAGAGAGAGAGAGAGAGAGAGAGAAAAGATCCTATGAGAAGTGCTTCCTAAACTGAAAAATGAGAAGTATTTTGAATGCTCCGATCAAGGATTCTGGACCGTGCGATAGACTTAACCTACCGCTCTTCATTAATGGCATCTTCGTAAATTCCACAAACTTTATGCCTTTTTATATACTCCATAAAACCTTCTTTCAACGATCCGTAAGTTTGGTCTATTCATTCTCTCTGTTCCTCAATTAGCTCTCCAATTTCCATCCGACCTTCTTCAGATCGATTTCATGGCGGCAATTCCATGGAGGAACACCGGTGCATCTAGCGAGTGCAGCGCCGTACAAGACCAATTCTTAGTGATGACGACTGGCCAATGAAGAGATCGAGTCTATGACCTTAGTCGTGAAGACTTCTCTATCTAAGTCCGGTGCCATGAACTTGACTTCTTCCGTAATCACTCTAATCCTCATCTTCATTTACATCTCCATTAATCTTCATTGCAGTACACAATCTTATCTTTTATCTTCTTCCTAATCACTCTATTGATAATCATCCTCAAAATCAGACACAGATGAATTCAACAGTGTTTTTCTTTCCGAATTGCAGTTTCCATCTCAACTAGATCGACTAGATTCCAGATTTTCAGGCATTTCATCATCAACTACAAAATTAAGTAATATTAGTTTGAATGATAACAAGTTTTGTATCCTGCTAACTAAAACATGAACTTCGTTTTCTACAGTTACTTTTTTATTATTTTTGCCTTATTGATCATGTAAGAATCGTGTAACGTAATTTTAATATGTGTACTTATACTATGTGTGCTGACTCTTTGTCGAAATAGATATTGAGTTCATGTTTTGCTCGTAACTTGTTTGTTAGTTTGTGAACTTAGATTATGCCTGCAACTTGTTCGATGAAATGTTTTAATGGTAATTGGTGTTAATGTACTTGATTCGTGAATAATTAAGCTGCAACTGAAAACAGAACTTTCCATTTGTGCATTGAATTGTGTTTAATCTGTAAATTTTATTCTCAAAGCAAGTTATTTAAGTCTATTTGATCTTCTTTTTCGTACAATTTAGGTCTTGAACAAGTCTCATATATATAGTGATATATTCTACAATTTGGAGTTATTTTTATTTCTCAACAAGTCTATATTGTTCATGACTTTGCAACCATATTCTTTATCTGAAGGCAACAACCAATATTATTTCTAGTTATAAATTTTCTTTTAAAAGTAAAACAATTAGTTTTATTAGTTCTACTTGTCCTTTTCCAAGTTACATGTAGTATTTTCTTAAGTTTTTTTATCTTAAAAGGTGTGGTATTCGGTCTCACACAAACTGCATTCTTTTGCCCTTTCACTCAAAGATTGCAAGATTCTCTTCAAGCAAACAATTAGGGAAAAATGAAGTGCGACAGAATTCTCTTGGGGAGGGGTAACCCACTCGTCGACATTTCTGCTGTCGTCGACCATGAATTCTTGAAGAAGTACGATGTCAAGCTGAACGATGCAATTCTTGCCGATGAAAAGCACTTGCCTATGTATGAAGAAATGACATCTAAGTACAATGTTGATTACATTGCTGGAGGTGCAACTTAGAATTCAATCAGGGTTGCTCAGTGGATGCTTCAAAAACTGGGTGCCACCAGTTTCATGGGTTGTATTGGAAAGGACAAGTTTGGGGAAGAGATGAAGAAAAATCCTAAAGAAGCTGGTGTTAAGATTCACTATTATGAGCATGAGACTACGGTAACGGGTACTTGTGTTGTTTGTGTTCATGATGGTGAGAGGTCTCTCATAGCCAACTTGTCTGCTGTAAATTGCTACAAATCTGAACATTTGAAGAGACCTGAAAATTGGGCTTTGGTTGAGAAGGCCAAGTACTACTACATTGCTGGATTCTTCCTTACTGTTTCCTCAGAATCCATTATGCTTGTTGCTGAGCATGCAGCTGCCAACAACAAGTTGTTCATGATGAACCTGTCTGCACCATTTATTTGTGAGTTTTTCCGGGAAGTACAAGAGAAGGCATTGTCGTATGTGGACTATATCTTTGGAAATGAGACAGAGGCAAGAACCTTTTCTAAAGTTCATGGTTGGGAGACTGATAATGTTGAAGAAATAGCACTGAAAATCTCACAGTGGGCTAAGGCATCAGAAACACACAAGAGGATCACTATCATCACTCAGGGTGCAGATCCAGTTGTCGTAGCAGAGGACGGGAAAGTGAAGTTGTATCCTGTGATAACTTTTCCGAAGGAGAAACTTGTTGACACTAATGGTGCAGGTGATGCATTTGTGGGAGGATTCATCTCACAGTTGGTCCAGGAAAAGCCGATTGCAGAATGTATTAGAGCAGGTTGCTATGAAGCAAACGTTATCATCCAAAGGCCTGGATGTACCTACCCTGAGAAGCCTGACTTTGAGTAAAGGCGGCTATTCATTCTCTTGATGGCTGGCACCAGCTTTTATTTATTTATTTATAATTACTGAGATAGATTCTTGGAGTGCGATTCATTGGAGGGGTTTGTACTGACCTCCAATTTACCCTACTTTAATTTTCATTTCATAAACGAGAACAAGCCAACTCTCATTCAATAAATTGTAGGGCGTTGTAATGTTTTAATGCTCAGTGGAAGCATGTTTTGGATAAAAAAAGTGTGGTATTCATAACAGGTTTTTCTTTTATATTATGAGTTAAATATTTATTTTATGATTAAAACAAAGAAAGTTACACCTATTATTTTAAAAGTCAAACAATCTTAATTATAAGTATATGTGTGAAATAGATTATGGTGGGGCTTTGTTCAAGTTAACATAGTTCAAGATAAATTGGTTTCATTCTTAGTCTAGCACAAGCTACTACAAATGGAACATTTTTTTTTGTTTTTTAATCTCTCAAGGAATACGATGATGTTGAGGCAGCAAGTATGAGAATTGTCTAGCACCCCATTTAATAGTCTCGAGTTTTTCATGTTGAAACTTTTTAATTAGTAGTCATGTTATTGGTATTTAGAAGTTATAGCCATTGTTTTGCAGTGTACAAGATCAAAGTGTTGGTGTTTGTTACTTACACTTGCAATTTATAATGTGGCAAGCATGGAATAGTGTGGCAAAGATGGAACAAAAAAGACAACCGTGATGGAAGTCATATCGCTGATTTCATAGAGAGAACGTTTAGTGGCTTTTGTTTATTATTTTCTTTCATATTTTTGGTATTTGTATAGATTCTATTGAGTGTATTATCCAAACCAGAGACTTTCGTATTGATAGAAGACTTAGGGGCATTAACCTCAGAGAAAAATGCAGATCCAATGTACGGGAGATACTTTTTTGCCCAAGAACAATGATATATAAAGAATAATAGAGTAGAAAAACTAAGGTTTTTGGTATTGTTGTTGGAGTTGACATAACACTCAAACCCGCAAATCAGAGTCTCAAAATGACGCAATCATAAATGAAAGCAAGAACAATGTTACAAGATAAATTGTAGGTCAATTTTTTTCCAGAAATGGCTACAAAGTAAAGGCTTCAAGTGCACAGGCTCTTCCAAGTTCACACATTGTAATGGCTTTTGACTGATCTACTTTTAGAATCATCATGAAAACTATGAAATATCTAATCAATTACATAGATCAAATCTATCCATTTCCTATCAATGGCCATCTAGGCTGCTTCATTGGCTGCATTTTTTGTCCACAAATAAAGTATGTCTTGCCACTAATGCATACTGGAAACCACACCACATATCTCCTCTGTTTCATCAAACCTCTCACGAATAAATGCCATCAAAGTTTCAAGCCACACGATATCCTGCATATTTGGCTTTCTGCTAATGATGACCATCCACTTGCCTCCATTTACACACTTAGGAGCTTCCCATTTGGGCTCAATACCAGCCTTGAAGAAGTGAAAGTCTGCATTTTCCTTTCTCCTTTATTTCAACAATGTTGTCTTACCTCCACAATTGTCTAAGTTATCTTCGATCTTCTACAATGAGGGTAAAAAACAGTTTTGTCACTAACAGAGCTAAAATCATTACTTTTAAAACTAAATAAATGACTTTTAACTCACATTAGTTAAAAATATCACAACCAGAAAGAAACCTAATGAAAAATGTATCTCATTACTGGGAGAAAAGCTTTGAATCACATGCCACAATTTTAACGTGTCAAACAGTCTCCTGGCATTCATCACTCTTGAACACAACATCTTGTAAGATAAAAGTCCATACATTGTCACAAAATCTATATGCGTGGAGATGCCCATTGATGGAGACCTTGTTCTTCATTTGAGACTCTAGAGCTTCAGTCATCGACTTATCGAACTGAACAACGTAAATATACAATAAAATAACTAAACTTTTAAAAGTAAATATAAAAATTAAATCATAATGTTATGAACACACTTATAGAGTCAAAACCAAAACTTCTAAAACTAAATATCTAACTTTGGGTTCACATTAGCTGAAAACCGCAAAGCAATAACAAAGCTTATTAAAAGAATAAAAAATAGAGAATACCTATTATTTTATTACCATAAGCTTATTACAAGCTTATTATTACCACTAGCTAATAGAGAATACCCACAAATAGAGCTTCAGTCATCGACTTACTAGAGGTAAGTCATTACTTTTAATAAAAAGATATAACTACTAAGTGAAATTTTGTCACATTTTCATCATGACTACATTCTCATTTTAATTGGCTAGCTCAAACTTGTGTTTGGCCATACACAAAGATCAACAAGTAAATCTTAGGTTTGTCAATAGAGTAATAGAGCAAAAATCATAACTTCTAAACTAAGTACAAAAGTCTTGGTTCACATTAGCTCAAAACCTCAAATCAATAACAAAGCTTGTTAAAAAATAAAATAGAAAATACCTACAACTGTTAATATTACTATTGGTATAAATATTAGCTAATAAAAGAAATTCTTGACATTATAACTTCTAATAGAAATTGTATAACTACTAAGAGAAAATTTGTAACTTCTAATACGATTAGCAGTGGCAGTCGCATTTTTAGCTCACAAGCTCCTAAGGAAAACAATAAAAATAAAAAACTAAAATTAACATAACAAAAAGGGTAAACTAGTTTCCCAATTGGATTTTTTTTTACTCCAGGGGGGTCTGGGGGAGGGGGCCTGGGGGGCCTGGAGTAATCAGGGCTGAAATTCAGGTTAGCATAAACTAATAAAGCCAGAATCGCAACTAATAGAAAGAAAGTCATAACTTGTAGTCTCACTTTAAATATAATGAAACTCATACTCCAGAAGCTACAGAAGTGTATGACTTTTGACGATTGGGTTATCCATTTTCAGATTTTACTAAATAGGAATCCATCTCGAAACAATCAGAATGTTTTGTAAGAGAGAGTCTTTTTACCTAGAATAATCAGGCACTCTTTCAGGTTAGCATAAACTAATAAAGCCAGAATCGCAACTAATAGAAAGAAAGTCATAACTTCTAGTCTCACTTTAAATATAATGAAATTCATAGTTCAGAAGCTACAGAAGTGTATGACTTTTGACGATTGGGTTATGCATTTTCAGATTTTACTAAATAGGAGTCCATGTTTAAATCAGCGCGAAAATCATATATATGTCATTCACCAAATTCACCACTAACTACTAAGCAACGAAGTAGAAGTCAAAATAAAGAATTCGGTTCAAAGATCAATAATACAACTAGCTCAATTAGCTGACTTTAAAAGTAATTCTATTAACTAAACTAAATTTGTAAGAAAAATTAGAAGATGACAAAATTCAATGGCTACATCAAAAGAACTAAACGACAACAAAACTAAATAATCTAATTTAAATCTTACCTTCATTTACTTGAATTGATTTGTTGATGAAACTAAGTTGATAAAAGGTAAAAGTTTTGTAAGCATCAAACTCAATTTGCAGTCATATAATCCTAGGTTACTATTGCTACCTAAAATTATTGATATATTACTAATCATTCAAGCATTTCAACAAACACTTGGCAAGTGTAACCTACATTAAATCCTTCCACACACAAAGACCAAGATTAGCAAATTAAAGTTGAATAAAGTTCATACCGAAATGATTTCCATAAAAAAAGCAGTAGGATATTGTAGAGAAGATAGAACAAAATTTTATCGGCACCACAAAGGTATATATTCTGTTGGCAGATCTCGAAGGAAACATAGAACTTATTCATATAAACATCAATTTTGAAATCATATTACCTTTGAGAAAGCAACTAGCGTTGCAGGTCTTCGTGAATTTGTCGATGTTTGCTGAGAAATCAAGTTATGATAAAATAAACTAATTGTTTAAATAGGTTTGAGAAATCGTTAGAATCGAGATTGAGTAGAGAAATTTAGAAACATACCTCATTCTAAGATCGAAAAGTAACCTATCGTAGCAGGTCTTCATGATTTGGCCGATGTTCGACGCGGTTGTACTGTTGCAGAGTCATCCCAAAAGATTGATACCAATGCGTAGAACTCTCCGTCGGTGGAGGCGGCAGCGTAAACCGGGATGAAGAGATCTGCGGTTACATAGTTAATCCGGAGGAGAGTGGCTGCTCCATCTGTGCGGGCGCCTGTGTCACAGGTGTCGTTATTGCAACCTACATCTGAGAAGGAAAAGCCTAGATAGACTCTAGTGTCTTCACCTTTTTTAAAGTGGGCCATTGATTTACTCTTAATCAAACGGTCTCCGTTCCTTCTCATTTTTCAGCCATAATAGACTTTGCAGCAGATTCGTTCTCTCTATCTCTCTCTCTCTCTCTCTATATATATATATATATATATATATATATATATATATATATATAGTTTTAGGATACAATGAGAATCACGCTTAACGCGAGAACGTGAGAACGTAAGAATTCCACTTTTAAGCAAGTGTGATGCACTATATCGTGTATACGTTGCACATTTTGGTTTAAAAAAAAAATTACAAATTCACCACAACGTTTATTTGATTTTGACATATGTGACCAAAGTTTAAAAAGTGTAATAAATGATGCCCATAGTGTACCAAATTGTGTCAAAAGTGCATGGTTCTCACGTTCTCAAGTTAACCATGGTTCTCATAGAATAAAGATCAAATGAGAACAATGCTTAACGTGAGAACACCACATTTACCCCAACGTGTTGCACAATGAAGCTTGTATATTACCCTTTTCGCGTTTTCACAAAATTTACCAAATTGTCACTGTATTTATTTAATATAGGCTTAATTAGAGGAAATGAAAATGTGTAACAGAAGAGCTCCATTGTGCATCACATTGATTTAAATGTGGGTGTTCTCACGTTCTCACGTTAAGCACCATTCTCATTGGAACCGCACCCTATACATACATACACACACATATATATGTTGGATTACAGGTCCAATAGCAGATCGGCCCATTATCCCTTGGCATGACCACCCCTAAAGGTGGATAGACGCTTGTCCTAACGGTCGGGCCAAACTAGGGTCAAGTTGCTTTGCATGA